AGGCCAGCCTGGACTACTTAAGTGAGTTCAAGGCCAGCATGTGTTACATAGAGAAACCCTGTCTCAAAAACGAAAACAAAACTAACAACGACCAAAAAATATAGTTGAGTTTAAATTATGTTTATCTTAGATGGGTATGATAGCACATACTTGTAATTCCTGCACTTTGAAAGGCTGAGGCAAAAAGTATCAAAAACTAGAGCTACAGCTGGAAAGCTTAGTGCAACCTTGACTCAAAATAAAAAATAAAGACTGAGATGGACATCAGTGTGAAGGCCCTAGGGTCACCCCCCAGTTCTAAACTACAAATAAGCTTATCTTCACCCAAAAATGATGTTTTTAAAATAAGGCCTGCCTTCTAAGATCTTAAAACAGTGGAGCAGAAACAGGAAATTATATCACAAATTGTGAATGCTAGCAAGGCAGATGGGGAGAAGTGACAGAAAGCAGGGCAGAAAGACAAAGTAATTTACAGTAATTAGGGAGATCCTCTCCACAGAGGTGATTCTTAAGGTGGGAAGTGAAATGTGAACACAAACCACTCATTAAAGTCATTCAGGCAACACATAATTACTGAGGATCTATCTATATTTGCACGGCTCTGTTCTAGATGGGAAAGATATAAGCATAAAATCATAAAACTGACAGATGGCATTCTCACTGTTCAAAACCTTATATTCTAGTATAAGGGAGAAAGTACTATGGTGACTTCACATACTGAAAACTCTTATGACTAGAGCTAAATGTGACAGTGCTGAGGACTGGGTTTCTTTAATCCTCACACAAGGATTCTCTGAAGATAGCAATGAACTGATATCTGAATGACAGAAAACAGCAAGGCAACGATCTGATGAGCATTCTAAGTAGAAAGAAAAGTAAAAAGTTCAAAGGCTCTGAAATGGAAACATGCTTGGCATGCTGAACAGAACAAAGTGGTAAGAGATGGGGAAATGGAAGATGGTAGCCAAGACCTGAAGCCTCTGAAATGGAATGATAATTTTAAACAGTCTAGCCATGGGGGGATAGGAGGGAGAAACCTGAGGGTTGGGAGGGTCTATAAACCATTTACAAAGGTTCCAATTGATCAGTTGGAACTGCAAGCTATATACAAAAGAAAACAGAGTAAGAGAGGTAGGTAAGATCTTTATTGTAAAAGCCACATGGATCCAAAATTTGTCAAAAGGACAATAAATAGAAAGACAACCATGATCAGATTTATATCTGAAACAGGGTTATTCTGATTCTCATATGAAAAAAAAGCACAGCAAGAAAGCAAAGACAGGACAGACTGGAGAGGATACTGAGAGTCTTCATCAACAGCACAAAGAAGTAATGAAGGCACAGACGAGAGCAGTGACCATGACTCTTTTAGAGACAAGGGTCCAAACGCACCTATTTATCCCAAAGCACCAACAGAACAATCAAAGCTGAATACTGAGGTTTCAGTTTAGAGAAAACTCATTCACTCACATGTTTTGTCTTAAAAACAACACACATGCCACAGGTTCACCCCCCTTGGACTAGGGTGCAACAATGGAGATGGAGAATCAACAAGGCCTCCTAATGAACTGGATGTGTAAGGTAAGACAATAGAAGAATCAAAACTGACTGACCAGTGTCTGGCATCTTACATAAGTAGGCAATTAATTTTTCTGCAAAATCAAAGTACTGGTTTAGGGTGACTGTGCTAAATACAATTCACTGCTGGTACGAAGACACAAACATTGCTAACGGCAGACATTCCTGATCCTCAATCCCCAAAACAAACATACTGAAGTAACTTACTATGGTTGTTTTCTTGGCAGGGCTAACTCTATGAAAAATGTACATAGCAAGATAAATTGTGATGCAAACTTTCTACAGATCCAGGATTTGTTGTTTTTTTTTTTTACTTTTTATCGGTACCAGGGACCAAACTCACGACCGCCTGCTTGCAAGGCAGGTGCTTATGCCGCTGAGCTAAATCCCCAGCCCAAGATCCAGGATTTTAAAAGCCACAGCCCTCAGGCCGGGGATATAGCTCAGTGGCACAAGTGCCTGCCTAGCAAGCATGAGGTCATGAGTTCAATCCCTCTGTACCACAAAAAGAAAAACAAACAAAAAGAACCCCCACAGCTCTAGCCAGTCACGGTGGTGCACACCTCTAATGTCAACATTCTGGGAGTATGAGGCAGGAAGATCACAAATCTGAGCCAAACAATCTAATACGTATGCCCTAGGCGGGGTGCCATACACCTACACCCCTATGCAATATAAAGGCTGAGAAATTCCTAGAAAAGACAGCAGAAAAAAAAAAAAAAAAAAGAAGATCATTCAGAGTTAAGAAAAGACAAAGCTTTAGTACAATCTGCAGAAAGTTTCCAAGGCTATGTTCAATTTTCACACCAAAGTAGGAAAGAAAATGTATCTGAGTTAGAAAATACAAAAATTGTTGTGCTTTTTAATATCAACTGGGAGCAAAGTATTAAAGATGAGGACAAAGTTTTGAATTTCAAGGTATGCTAAGTTATACACAATGGGATTTCCCCTGTAAAGGCATTCTTAAATTACCAGGGCTATCTCTCAAATCTCTTGCTTTGAGCTATGTGGCTTTTCTTCTCGGAATGTTACCGTGCAAGTATTTTCACTGAGAAGTTCAATTTAAAGTATTTAAAAATTAAATAATATCAAAATTAGAAATTTTACCATTTCTATGCTATGTTTTGGTTTTACGGGTAATTTTTTACTCTATTTTCTTTCTTTCTTTCTTTTTTTTTTTTTTTTTTTTGGGTACACTGTAAGACTTACTGTTTCCAAAGAGTGTGTTTTAACAAGGCAGATACTTTTTTTTTTTTGGAGTCAAGGTCTCACTATGTAGCCCAGGCTGGCCTGGAACTCACACACAGTGATCCTCGTGCTTCAGTCGCTGAGTACTAGGACTACAGTCATGTGCTTCCATGCCCAGCTGACACTTTAAAAACTAGTGCTGGGCCAGGGGATTGTCGTAAGTGCCTGCCTGGCAAGCTCGAGGTCATGAGTTCAATCCCTGGTACCAAAAACAAACAACAACAACAACAAAACCAGTGCTTGCTGTTTGTTACTGTTTATTTCTAAAAGCTACAAAAAGAAGCTGGGTGTGATGGTGCACCCCTATCATCCCACTACTTGGGAAGCTGAGGGAGGAGGATCTTGAGTTTGAGGACAGCCTCAATTACATAGTGAGCTCAAACCCAGCTGAACTATATAGTGAGGCCTTACTTCAAAAATGAATGAATGATATAGAAAAACTTAAAGAGTAAAACGGAGGAACCGAGCCACGCATGGGGCCACATGCCTGGATTCCCAGAATACTGGGATGCAGGAGGATTGGAAGTTTGAGCCCACTCTGGGTAACAAATGAGATCCTTTCGCAAACAAACAAAATTAAATTTTTTTCTTTTGGTAATTGGAATTGAGCTCAGGACCTTGCACTTGCCAGGCAGCCATTTATGCCACTGAGCTATATCCCCAGCCAAACAAAATTATTTTAAAAGGGCTAGAGATATAGCAGAGGTAGAAGGTCCTGGGTTCAATTCCCATTACTGCCTCCCCAACCTCCAAACAGAAATCCATAAAACTGTAAGAACAAGGGAAAGAAGAGAAAGTCTGTGGAATAAAGTGAAAGGTTCTTGCCCTAGTGTATATTACTGTACAGTGATGGCGGTGGTCTACCGTGGCGGAGGCCAAAGCGGGAGCGCTTACTGCTTCCTCCTACTCCTCCAGCTGTAACTGCATCTCCCCTTCCTGTTTGTGTGCACAGAGAATTCCGATGGGTTCCTCACACCTCATCAATTCTGCCCCACGCGCCACTTCCGATCAGAGGTCACAGAACCCTCTGCCTGTCTGTATCTGATCAAGGAGGCAGTCTCATCACCTGGGTTGTTTGCTCCTTTCCGGGTCCTCAATAAACCTGTTCTTTTTTTACTTTCCACTTCTCTATAGCACCAGAAAACGTTAACAGAAAGAGTGTAGACAGAGGTACAGGACAAATTTAGTAGGGCAAAGGTTTTATATATAATGTAAAACATGTCTGAAAAATTATTTTGTGACATTTGGTTTCTCTCATACAGACAGTTATGCATGTATTATGTATGTGATGCTGTATGTCCTTAAGAAAATTTAACGGCTTCATCCTTATAACATATACAAAACAAGTAATATTCACTAAAAAGTACGCCATTCTAACTTTGAAGTCCATGACTCACATTTGAATGTAAATTCAAATAACTGTATTATACTTCTCCAGGCAAAACTATATAAATTAATTTAAAAAGTATGTCTGTGTCTTTTTCTTTTTTCAGTGCTAGAGGATTGAACTCAGGACTGCCACAAAGCAAAGCAAACATTCTATCTCTAAGCTACATCGTAAGACCATCTTTTCAAAAATAAAGGTTTAAAGGCAGGCACGGTACCACACACCTGTAATCCTAGCACTTGGGAGGCCGAGGCAGGTAGATTGCTGCGAGTTCGAGACTAGCCTGGGCTACAAAGTGAGCTCAAGGCCAGCCTGAATTACATAATGAGATCTTGTCTCAAGAAAGAAACAGGGAGAAGGGGAGAGGGAAGGGAGGTGAGGTTAAACCATATTAAGGAAAATAAATATTTTAGCTTAAGATTCAAAGCAATGCAAGATTGATATTAACCTTTAGATTAGATGTCTGTGAGCAAAGCACAGTGCCAAAGGCTTTATACAGATTTCATGTGATCCTTATACCAACCCTTTGAGATAGGTGGCATCAGCTCCATTCTACATATGGAGATAGAAAAGCCTAACAGTATGTAACTTGCCCATGTTTACAAAGCAAGTGGAAAAATTAACAGCCAGCTCTTATAGAGCAAAACCAATGGCAAGCACATTTCTGCTTCACTGAGGTTCACCTGGTAGCACAAAAGTCTAACAGAATCTAAACAAGTGACAAGGAATAATTTCACTGCCATATGTGCTATTGTTATATAAAATAAAGTGAATTAGCATCACTTACCAAATCTGTAGCTTGATCTTCTTTCCTTGTAATTCAACTGTTTTGATCTTAAAGTCTATTCCTGTAATACAAGGGGAAAAAAAGAGGTAACTTGTAAATGTAGCTTTGTGCTTTACTGAAGTAAATATGCTGATACATTTTAAACTACAAATCTGAGCAAATAGGTCCACAATCTTAAACCCAAGTAATAGAAGACTCAGGATGGTCAGAGAACTAGCCATATAGATAGTTTTCACAAATTAGTAAAGGAAGTAACATATCTGCTATTACAAGTCAGGTGTGGTGGCCCATGCCTGTAATCCCAGCACTCAGTGGCTGGAGCAGGAGGATCCCCACAAATTCAAGGGTAGTTTGAGCTATGTAGTGAGTTCAAAGCTAGCCTGACTACCTAGTGAGACTGTCTCAAAAATAAAACAAAATAATACATAATAAAATATGTACTATTACTATTGGAGATTTTTAATAGTTTATTTATTTATTTTGGTACTCCACTGATCGAACTCATGATCTCACACCTGCCAGGCAGGTGCTGTGCCGCTGAGCTATATCCCTGGCCCTGATAGTTAATTTTTAAATGTAGAAAGAAAAAGTAATAATATACAATATTTGAATAACACTAACCAAGTTGACCTAATTGATATATAAATCTCCACACACTTAGTTTTGTTGCTGTTGTTTGTTCTGCTTAAAGATTGAACTCAGGGCCCTGCAATGCCAAGCAAGCACTCTATGCTACTGAACTTCATCCCAAGTCCCAGACTTACGTGCACACTTAATGGGCACTAAAATAAAACATAAGGGGAATAAATGAAATTTCAACATGAATACTAAAATCATACGGATAGGAGAATGAGAAAAAAATGAGTTCTGGCTGGGGATTTAGCTAAGTGGCACAAGTGCCTGCCTCCCAAGTACAAAGTCCTGAGTTCAATCCCCAGTATGAAAGGAAGGAAGGAAGGAAAGATTTAAAAAAAGAAAATGTAGGAAAAAAACAAGTTATATTATATATAAACACAAATTCTCTATGATGAATGTGATCATTATATGTATCTAAAATGTACCAACAAAATCTTGATTGGAAAAAAATATATTAATTGCATTAATACAACTCTACCAAAATTCATGCACTGTTTCAGAAAGGGAGGAATATGGAAAGAACAAATTAAGTCTCCTAATCTCAATTTTCTTTTAGAAGTAAACTTCCAGCCCATTTTGATACTATGCAACAAATACAAGAGTTGTTTATCAAAGGCTGAATTAATGAGCATGTCATGAATGAAACTAGCTAAGGGATATAAACAGATCTAAGAATAAACCAAGCTTCAAGAGAAAACATGCCAAAAACCTTTAAAAAGGAAAAGGCTTTCTACATGATTCCAACTGATATACTACTAATTAAAACTGTATTTCAAGATTCCATAACTTTTTCCAGTTTTTTTTTAATCCAAACATTTGAAGGTCCATAAAATGAAGGTGAAAGGAAAATAATTTCTCAAAATCCCAGCCCAGAAAGTCATGGATGGAACTGTGAGGAGGAAGATGTGCTTCACGTGAAAGAAAGCTACGCTAGGGATGTCTTTCACCTTGTCCTGACTATGTTTTCCATTATCAAATCAAAAGGTGCCACCTAACCAACATTAAACTTAGTCCATGTCCACGGTCAATAATTTTGTTTCTCTAAGAATTTTCTTAGAGAATCACCCTACAATTACATAATCTTCAAGATTAATCCCTGAAAGCTAACTATACATGTCATCTTTATTTTTTTTTTTTTTTCTCCTCTCACCTCTCAAATCCTTTTCATGAGGCTTTGTTGCTTTTATTAAACACTCCACCACCAAACTGCTCCCGTGGAGATTAAGATCTCCATGTTCCTGTATTTAGCCTGGGGAGGGGAGCACTGCTGGGGATTGAACCCAGATGACCATGCATGACCATGCATGTTATGCTTGCACTCTACCATGGAGCTACACGCAGGCCCCAAATGTTTTTTTGTTTGTTTGTTTGTTTGTTTGAAATCAGTACCAGGGATTGAACTCACGACTGCCTGCTTGCAAGGCAGGCGCTTATGCTGCTGAGGTAAATCACCAACACCCCCCCCCCAATGTTATTCTAAGCCCTTAAATGAGTTGGCCTAATTGGCAGGAATTAAAGGTGCTCCTCATTCCTTCCTGAACTCTGCCCCTAAGCAGTTAGAAGCTGATTTTCAAAATGGACTGTAGGCTTCTCTTATTCTTCCCAAGAACAGAAAGTCTTCACTGTTCAGTTGAACTCACTGTCACATAGTGGTCCTGGGTGGAGGAAAAGGACCCAACCCTGGTGTAGTCTGTAATAAACCTGTAATACAACCATTCTGAGAGGCTCAGCAGGAGGACTGTAAGTCTGGATACAATTAGCTTGGCTGCTAATCCTCCCTTTTTAACAGTTCTTGTATCTGCAACTTGTCTCTTTTTGCAAATTGTAAGACCAACAAGGGTACAGATTTTTATCTATTTATTTCATTTAAATTCTCAGTACCTAGAACAATTGCATTTTATATATATATATATATATATATATATATATATATATCCACTCAAAAATTGTTGAATAAACATAAATGATACTTCTGGAAAAAGTAAAAAGCCCCACCCCACCCCCCCCAAAAAAAAACCCACAGGTAGCTTCACCGTTACAATGTAACTATTTAGAATCAGCTTTTTAGAGCCTTGGATCAAACATTTCAATGCCATGTCAAAACAATTAAGGAAAACCAAAAAAGAAACAGGTAATACAGTTGAAAAACTAACATTTCTCATTTAAACATAGGATGACTTCTTTAGATTTGAGGGGCCAATGTCAAGCTAACTCAGAAAACTGAAAATTAAATAAAGAAAATATGCGAGCTGGGCACAGTTGTGCACGCCAGTAATCCCAGTACTCTAGGAAGCTGAGGCAAGAGCACAATCCAGCTCAGACTAGGCAATTTAGCAAGACCTTGCCTCAAAAGGGGGGATGGGAGGGCCAGAGATATAGCTCAGCAGCATAGTGCCTGCCTGGCAAATGCGAGGTCATGAGTTTAATTTATAGTACCCCCCCCCAAAAAAGGGGGGGAAAGGGGAGTTAGTGTGAAGGCTCTGGGGTTCAATTCCTAGTATCAGGCCCACTCTCCCCGCCCAAAAAAAGAGAAAATAATACATTCAACAGAAAAATAGTGAGCTCCCCCAAATATGATTAAGTCACAAGAAACGGAACATACAGTATATGACATATAACTTTAAGATCAAATCAGAAGGTCTGACATTTAACCCAAGTCTGAGAAAAAACAGAGAAAATGATACAGATAATAGTCAAAGAAATTATACAAGAAAACAGAACCAAATAAATCCGGTTTTGGACCTGAAGACCACTAAGTGCGTAGCACAATGAATAAAAGCCATACTGTAGGGTCAGGGGATTACAGACTGGGGGCGGGGGGTAGAATAGGGGTTTCATTAGGTCTTCTAATCCTGACTAGGAGTTAAACTTTACTAGAGAAATTTCCCTGGGAAGTAGGTCAAGGACAAGGGTAGAGAAAGCCAAAATCAGACAAAGAAAGGCACCAAATAGCCTTGGGACTTGCACCAAGAGACCCAAAAAGGAAAGAGCAGACAAGCAGAGTACAGAGAGTCAAGTGCACAAAGCCAAGCTGAAATGGCCATCCCTCACCTCCTCTAATACAATACACGGGAGACATAAGTGGAGGTTGGGGGAGTTAACTAACTTTAGGGAAAGGTCTTATACAAGCGTACACTTACACCTATGCACAAACATGCAAATACACACAGGCGTGCACACAGACACACGTATTTATTCTAAGAGCACAACAATTACCATATAATTATAGAGTACAATGGATATCTTCATGCCCCCTTAATAACTTTTAAGATAACCATGAATATGGCACCTCTGTGCCAATCAGCTGCCCACCCTGAAAATAAGGCCCTAAAGTAAATAGAAAGAAACTGCACACTAATCACTGAAAAAATGACATTATAGAGAGGTGCTCAGAAGCCAATCTAGTCACGGCAAGTTCCAGCTGGAGGGAAGGGTCCCTGACAACCCCACCTCCATAAAAGCAGCCATGAACATTGTTCTGGAGCCCCTTACCCTAATTCCTTTTTATCAGGGTAACTATATATTTTCTCCACTCCATACACTTCCTCTTCCTCTTTATTTTACAAATAAAGTGCATTCCTTTTCGTTAAACTTTGTTCCTCAAATTTTTTTACTGGGGCTGAGTTTATGATCTCAGTGGGCTGCTCGGACACCACAGCAGCAGTGCTCCTCCCCTAGTTGAGATAATACCAAGAAATATAACAGTGAGATTTCAGAATACCAGGGGAAAAAAGTTACAAAAACTTGCAGAGAAACAAACTGGGCCACATTAAAGGTTTAAAAATGATAATAACTCTCAACATTTGTCTCACTCGCAGGAGACCCTACCTTAAACCACCAGCAAAAGAGGGGAGGAGTACCAACTCTCAACACATCAATAGCAACACTAAAAATCCAGAAAACAAAAGGACAATGTCTTTGTGAGTATTTTCAAACTATAACCAGCCAGTACCAACTGAAAGACATTTCCAGACATAAAGGATCTCAAAATATTTAGCTCCCATTTATTACTCCAAAATGTGGCACTTTGATATGCTGCGCTGGAGAGTTTGAGAATTTAGGTTTCTTTACCCCTCCCTGGTTTCTGAATGCAAGAGGAGAGAGAAGCCTTCTCTAAAGTGCCCTCACAGAACTGAAAGAACTCTTCTCCAAAAGAAATCCAATTGTCTCAAATCCCCCTTCTACAGAAATCATCAAATATCCAAGGAAGGTAAATCAGGAAAACAAACTAAAAGCCTTACACAGCCCAGAAAGACTTTTACTTTTCATCTATTCTTCTAAGAGCAGCTCCTAAAGATAACTGAGAGATTGTCACTTTCTTGTTGAGACACAATGCACAATACCTAAAACTGAAGGTGGAGAGGTTTATTTTAGCTCAGTTTCCTAAGTTTCAGTTTAGGCAGGCTAAATTGCAGAAACGAACGG